TGAATATAGCCACGTGATTTAAAATGAGCCAAAACTATCGCATCAATTGCATGGTGATAAGGAGTTAAACTTCTTAATTGTTCTTTATAATAAAAAGGAGAAAATTGCCATTTTTCTCCCTCTTTGTATTGTAATAATTGCTTCCGAAAATAAGAAGTGAGCGAGCCCTTAATTGACTGAACTTCTGTTTTTCGATACTTTAAACTTCTATCTAGTTCACTTCGGACATATCGCTTCAAATAAGTAGCAACCATTCTCGTATCATTCAGATTGCGACTAACGAAATCTTCCAATTCTTCTTCTCAGCCTTCTTTCTCTCCCAAAGTTAAAAATTTATGTTTGAAAGGATTTCGGGTTTTATAAAGATTATCAACCGTTTTTTTGAAAGATGACCATTCTTTCTTAGTTTTATATTTTTCGAAAAAATGAAATGGCAATTTTTCTCCCTTAATTTGATTACATTCCTGATGAGTTAGAGTTAAATTATTAAAAGAATCATTGGCTCACTTACTTTGGGGAATAATATGGTCAATTTCGGTGTTTTTTAATTTTCATACATCAATTTCTTTGCCGCAGTAAAGACAAGTTCCTCCTGGGTTAGTAGTTTCTTTGATAGTGGGTTTTTTCTTTCGATTTCTTCCTGTCCATAGTTTTTCATTTTGATCCTCTCACAAACGATATCGCTTAATATTTTCTTCATTGATTTGGATATCGGAATTATTATCCCTTAGTTTTTCAATAATATCTTTCTTTTCCTTGGCCTGGTCTTGGTTCTTTCGTTCAATTTTGCTTCTTTCCTCCTCCGAATTTCACAAGTCCCGACCAGTTTCGATGTTAATCGTAGCAAATCCCTGCGGATAACTTAAAAAAAGATTTTTAAGAATTTTGCGGGTTTGGTTAAAACTACGAAAAACTACCGGATTTCTCACTAAATCGGGATGCATTCACGGAGATCATATTGTTTCATTTTCGTCACCATTTTTGCTATTCTTTAACTTCTCTTCTAATTCTTTTTTAACTTTCGCTTGAAATTCACCGTATTTTTGACCATCTAAAAAGGCTTTAATTGTTTCAACCATATAACGGAAAGAAACCGAAGCCGGCGACCTTTTTTTATCATATTTTTCTAATTTGGCTAGGCAATCCCCAAAAGCCTCCAAACTATATACTTTTTGGCTTAAACTATCTAACTCATTTTTTCTCCGTCGAGGAGTTATTTTTTCGAAAATTATTTGACCAATTTGGTAGAAAATCGTTTTTTGATAATCTTCATAATTTAAGTAGAATTGAGAAGGGCAGTTTTTCATAAGGGTAGAATAAAAACTGCCATTTTCTTTTAAATAATCCAAAAAATCGGTTTCAAACTCAACTCCTTTGGGAAAATTATAATTCCCCTTTCCTACTAATTTATTAAGAAATGTTTCGAGTTGTTTTCTCAACGTTTCCCTTTTTTCACCTTTTTCTTTTTCTTCTCGGCTCAGTGTTTTAGGTTGATAACCAGTGGGAGAAATCAGTCATTCAAGAACTTTTACGTGAATTTCTTTTACTTTTTCTATTCCCCCTAATTCCTTTTCTTCTAAACTGCCGATTTTAGAAAACTCATTAATGAATTGATAACAACAATAAATAAGTGAGCAACGCCAACCCCTTTGTTCAGTAGGAAAATATTGACAATAACCGGTTGTCTCAATAAAAGATTCGGAAGCAATATTGCGATTATGTTTTTTTCAATGGGCGATTTCTTTTTTCTCTTGACTCCTTGGTTCATTTCCAGTTGGTCCATCTTCAAAGTCTCTTTGACGAAAAATTATTAATTTAATAATCTCTTGGACTGAAAAATCTTTCGTTTCTGATTTCCCATTTTCTAGTAATGTGTAGGAAAATTTCCTTTTAAGTTCAGGGTAATACTCACTCTGCTTTTCCAAAATTTTTTGTGTTTCTTCGGCCAAAAGTTCACGAGGAAAAACAAAATGTTTATGATTTTTCTTTACTTCTTCTTTATTTTCGTAAATTTTGTTGGGATTGTGATTGTGGGCAGAAAGTATTTCTTGGTTTTGGGAATGACGAAATTTTTCATTTTTAATAACCATTTCTGCTATTGAATCATAATTATTTTCTTGGAAAATCTTTTTTGCTTCTCCAACTGCTGCATAGATTTTTTTGTCCTCTTCATTTTTTTCTTCAAGACTATTGTCAAGATAAAATTCCTTATAACCACGGTATTTACTGATATGGAGGAGGA